GCGCTGGCGCGGGCTCGGGCTGCAGGACTGGGGGGCGGGGCAGGGGCGTGGGCTGCGGGTTTTCCGCGGCAGGAGCTGGAGGGTCGGGCCCTGGAGGCCTGGTGGGGGGGAGTGTTTGCGCAGAGGAGGTGGCGGGGGTCCCTGACGGTCCCTGGATTTGGCAGTCTGTGACGCAGTTTTCTAATATTTGGTCGTCAGGTGTGGAGGCTGGTGCCTCGGGACCCACCTCCCTGCAAGGGAGCGCAGGATCAGAGACCCCGAGGAGCGCCTGGGGGGGCGTGACCTCTCCCAGGCTTGTGAGGAGAGCGCTTTAGGGGTTTCCTTTAGGGTCTGCCTCCAGTCGCCGGGTGTGAAGGGGAAAGGCGGTTCTATGGAATTCTGGGACTTGTAGTCCTGGCCGCGGTTGGGTTGGGTGCACGTGGGTAACTGTGGAAACGAGTCCCAGAATGCAGCGCGCCCCTTGGAGCCTCCCTTCTCAGCTAACTCGTGCTTTATTCCCAGAGGATCCCCGAGCGCTCTCGGGAGGCTCTTCTGTCCCCTGGGACTGGAGGAGGTTCTCTAGACCGTCTCCTTGGGGAGAACCAAGCCAAGTACAGTCCTTTCACACTTGGGTTTTTGATCCCGGACTTATTTCCCCCCTGCATTTGGTGGCCTTATTTGTAGAATAAATCCTATCTACCACATAGGTTGTGGGAAAAACATTCAAGATACAACACAATATAAAGAAGTGTTTAAGATGGTGTATTTTTTGTGGCATCTGTTGTGTGTAAACACTAGGTTAAAAGGTTCAGTCTTATATAAATGTGGGAAAGCAGTGGAAACAAATGTGAGCCTTGTGATGATGCCATAAATTATGTGTGTGTACTTCTTGGGCTCTCTGGATTGTCCAAGAATGAGGAGACTTTTTAAAAAAACATGATCTTGAACTGAGTGATGGAAGTGGCTTAATAGAATTTAGGGTGGTCCCATTCATTAAGCCAGCGTGAAAATATGATGATGAATAATGGGAATATATGTCTTCAGTTTTCAAAGAAGCATGGGAAGCAAATGAGGCTAGAGGAAAGTAAATTCATTGGAGGATATTTAGAGGTTTTCATGGGTTTTGCTGTGGCATATATATAATTCCTTCTGCCTGCCTTTTTTAATATTAGAGCCCAATCCTCTTAGTCTGTAGATTCCCCAAACATCATATCCTTTGTGGGTTCCCTTTACCATTTATATGCAATGATTTAAAAAATCTGTAATATAGAGTGCCATAAGATTAGCCCAGAGGTGACCGATCACTTTTATGTGGTATTTTTGAAACTATTGGTAACATAGTCACTAGAAGAATATTATAATGACCCTAATGACACATATTTTACCCCAAAGTCCTAAGATTTGGAAACCTTTTAGTATGGTTACAAATATACTGAACATGAGTACTTGATTCAATGATGATTCTTTTCATAATGGCTGAAAAATTGGGCAGTGTGCGGTTTTGGGAGGAAATAATTTATATCTCTATCTTATGTTTTATTTGTTTGTGGTGAAATATCCAGGAAACCCTTTATGATATGTAAATATGTGATTTGGACATGTTTTTAAAAATGTACATTTAATTGTGCAGTTTGCTCTCATAAAGGGTAAAGTGTAGGAGGCTGAAAATGAGTTGTAATTGTCTTCAAGATGGTGTTTTTTAAAGAAAATATTAGGTTAGTCATTTCCTTCCCTTGTTCTTTTTGTATTACAGTCCAAAGGGCAGGTATCCTTTACACATATACAACCCGCTCCCTACCCTAGCCCCCTAAACCCTAGGTGTCTATACATTATCAGCTTATACTTTCTGCTTTGGTTTTTAGGTTCCTTGATTTTTGGCCTTTGGAGAGGTCCTTTATTTTCTTGTGAACTTAGCTTTGCATTTAAACAGATGTTTCTTACACTTTGCCCAGAATTTTTGGATTCTTTTATATTGGGAAGGATTTTTAGGTTATCTTGTCTATAACGTTGCCAGAAAAGAAAGTCTCCATAATTTTCTCCACTTAAGCGCACTTCTGTACATTTACGTTTTTCTTCCTGTATTCCTGCCTCTGAGAAGTGCTCCTACTAACTTGTGATCACATCTTTTTAAATGTTATTAATCATTTTCTGTTTTTATCTTTAGGTGCTCCCAGAAGCTTTTTTAAAAATCCCTAATGGAGGATATTTTTTCCATTCCTTTTCAGAGTGAGTGGAAGGGAGAGAGAGGCAGAGAGAAACATCCGTGTGTAAGAGAGACATTGATTGGTTGCCTCCTGCATGGATCCTGACTGGCTCCAGGGGAGAAGCCTGCCTCCGAGGGTGTGCCCTTGGCTGGAATCGAACCCGGGACCCTTCAGTCCGCAGGCTGATGCTCTAACCACTGAGCCAAACCAGCCAGGGTGCTGAAGCACTTACTAACTTACTGCTGTCTTCTTGACCGTAGTATGTTTGCATTATTCTCATTTCAATAACATTAACTCAGCAGTTTAAAATTCAAACTGTCAGAAACTGACCTTGTGATGACCTCCGTTTCAGTTAGAATGCCTTTGGCAGGTAACAGTACTCAATTAAAAATGGCTTAAATAATAGAGCTTATTGTCCAGAAGCAAGACATCTAGAGATAAGACTTTTTTTTTATCTTGTCTAGGTTCTAAGGCTGGTGCAGCATCTTAATGATAACTTAAGAGTCTATACTGCTTCTAGCCTTTTTTTCCTCTCTTCTTAGTATTTTGGCTTATCAAAAGTCTCAGGCTCATTGCCTCCTGTTTGCAAAGTGGTTGCTGCAGCACCAGACATCATGCCTATGTAAGATAGATAGGGAACGAGTTTATTTAC